GGTCCACACCTTGGCCAGGTGTCCCAGGTCCACACCTTGGCCAGGTGTCCCAGGTCCACACCTTGGCCAGGTGTCCCAGGTCCACACCTTGGCCAGGTGTCCCAATTCCACACCTTGGCCAGGTGTCCCAGGTCCACACCTTGGCCAGCAGTCCCAGGTCCACACCTTGGCCAGCCGGGTATCGCCACAATCGTCCTTTGATTTGGTCCAACTGAAGAAGCCTCAATTTGACGAGGTATTCCTGCGGATCGGCATGTGGTCGCGTTCGTATCCCGGGAGAGTGTGTCGCAATCCGGGCCAATCCAATCCTTGCTTCACGCTGATTGGTTCCATTGGTCGGCGTCTTGATCCGTTACTATGAAAACGTCTCCCTCAAGATGCTATCATGTGCTAGGCTGGGCAATGTTTTTGCTATCATATGCTAGGCTGGGCAATGTTTTGCTATCATATGCTAGGCTGGGCAATGTTTTGCTATCATGTGTTAGGCTGAGCAATGTTTTGCTATCATGTGCTAGGCTGGGCAATGTTTTGCTATCATGTGTTAGGCTGGGCAATGTTTTGCTATCATGTGTTAGGCTGGGCAATGTTTTGCTATCATATGCTAGGCTGGGCAATGTTTTGCTATCATGTGTTAGGCTGAGCAATGTTTTGCTATCATGTGCTAGGCTGGGCAATGTTTTGCTATCATGTGTTAGGCTGGGCAATGTTTTGCTATCATGTGTTAGGCTGGGCAATGTTTTGCTATCATGTGTTAGGCTGGGCAATGTTTTGCTATCATGTGTTAGGCTGGGCAATGTTTTGCTATCATGTGTTAGGCTGGGCAATGTTTTGCTATCATGTGTTAGGCTGGGCAATGTTTTGCTATCATGTGTTAGGCTGAGCAATGTTTTGCTATCATGTGTTAGGCTGAGCAATGTTTTGCTATCATGTGTTAGGCTGGGCAATGTTTTGCTATCATGTGTTAGGCTGGGCAATGTTTTTGCTATCATGTGTTAGGCTGAGCAATGTTTTGCTATCATGTGTTAGGCTGGGCAATGTTTTTGCTATCATGTGTTAGGCTGGGCAATGTTTTGCTATCATGTGTTAGGCTGGGCAATGTTTTGCTATCATGTGTTAGGCTGGGCAATGTTTTGCTATCATGTGCTAGGCTGGGGGATTGTTTTGCTATTATGTGTTAGGCTGGGCAATGTTTTTGCTATCATGTGTTAGGCTGGGCAATGTTTTGCTATCATGTGTTAGGCTGGGCAATGTTTTTGCTATCATGTGTTAGGCTGAGCAATGTTTTGCTATCATGTGTTAGGCTGGGCAATGTTTTTGCTATCATGTGTTAGGCTGGGCAATGTTTTGCTATCATGTGTTAGGCTGGGCAATGTTTTGCTATCATGTGTTAGGCTGGGCAATGTTTTGCTATCATGTGTTAGGCTGGGCAATGTTTTGCTATCATGTGCTAGGTTGGGGAATGTTTTTGCTATCATGTACTAGGTTGGGCAGTGTCTTTGCTATCATGTACTAGGTTGGGCAGTGTCTTTGCTATCATGTGCTAGGGTGGGCAATGTTTTGGGAAACCGACTCGTGAGATTTATATTTATTTAATTTATATGAATTTATATAGAATTTATATTTACGTTAATTTATATATTTCGGTAGCAATTTGTATTATGTTCAGCGGACTGTGTTTCTGCAAAATCCTCACAAATCGACTCCTTGCACATTAGGGGGGGCTTATAATAAATTTATATATGCAACCAATCAAACTACAGCATTAAACTACATATATTAGTGATAATAATTTAGAGGTCTTATCTTATTGTATGGTAGTCTTAGTCCACCAGCTTAGAACAAGGATGTTGACTCCAAATAATCCTCAGTTAAGACTGGCATTCACCTCCCCTCTACTGATGTACCAAGATTAATTCTTGCTTCCTCTTCTATACCTGCTAAAAGAACACTTGCTGTAAAGCAGGAATCCTATATATGACAGCTATATCAGAGAAAATACTGTATAATATATAAGATAAAGACCAAGGAATAATTACCTGGGTTGAGTCATTTGCTCGTGTTCTAACCGGAATTCATCCTATCTACCTAACATTTCTGGCCAGGAAAGACTTTGATAAGATTTCGGAAAGACACTTCCCTTGTTTAGATGTTGACTGCGTGTTGATGATGGTTGAAGCACTAATTTGATCTCCATAATCCTTCGACCAAGTGAGAATTATTGGACCTGAACTCACTCCGAGCGACTCTGGTCTTAACTATGGCTGACCTCTCTACACTATGACTGACGCACTGGCTCTTTGTCCAGATATCAATAATTACAAATACAAATTTTTTATTCAAGTAAAGTAAATACATACAAGGTAAGATATAAAAGTTGATGGATTTATGGATAGAGCTAGTACATACAATGCCTAAAGCCACTATTACGCAAAGCGTTTCGGGCAATAGATTATTTAGAAGTAGAAGGGTCACATTTACTCTAATTTGGTACTGATAATTAAGTTAATTCAAATGAGATGTTTTTATGATGTTAAAAGTCCAAAGACTACTGTATTAAGAAAAATTCCCAACAGAATAGCTGCTGGTGAATTTATGGAACTATGTGGCAATGATATCCCGATTTCTATTGACGGAAAATTCCACTACAAGCTACAATCTCTATGGGTTAACTTGTGTATACATCAGCAGCAATATTATCTGCCTATTATATGTAATATTATTAAATGGTGTCGGGTTTTCTGACAAATGTTTTGCTATCATGTGCAAGGCTGGGCAATGTTTTGCTATCGAAACTGGCGGCTGGCGGCATGTGTCAAACCCAGCAGCATGTGTCACACCCAGGAGCATGTGTCACACCCAGGAGCGTGTGTCACACCCAGGAGCGTGTGTCACACCCAGGAGCGTGTGTCACCCAGCAGCATGTGTCACACCCAGGAGCATGTGTCACACCCAGCAGCATGTGTCACACCCAGGAGCACGGGTCTCACCCAGGAGCATGTGTCACACCCAGCAGCATGTGTCACACCCAGGAGCACGGGTCTCACCCAGGAGCATGTGTAACACCCAGCAGCATGTGTCACACCCAGCAGCATGTGTCACACCCAGCAGCATGTGTCACACTCAGGAGCACGGGTCACACCCAGCAGCATGTGTCACACCCAGGAGTATGTGTCACACCCAGGAGCATGTGTCACACCCAGCTGCATGTGTCACACCCAGCAGCATGTGTCACACCCAGCAGCATGTATCACACCCAGGAGCGTGTGTCACACCCAGGAGCGTGTGTCACACCCAGGAGCATGTGTCACACCCAGCTGCATGTGTCACACCCAGCAGCATGTGTCACACCCAGCAGCATGTGTCACACCCAGCTGCATGTGTCACACCCAGCAGCATGTGTCACACCCAGCAGCATGTGTCACACCCAGGAGTATGTGTCACACCCAGGAGCATGTGTAACACCCAGCTGCATGTGTCACACCCAGGAGCATGTGTCACACCCAGCAGCATGTGTCACACCCAGCAGCATGTGTCACACCCAGCAGCATGTGTCACACCCAGGAGCACGGGTCACACCCAGGAACATGTGTCACACCCAGGAGCATGTGTCACACCCAGGAGCACGTGTCACACCCAGGAGCATGTGTCATACTCAGCAGCACGTGTCACACCAAGCATCACGTGTCACACCCAGGAGCATGTGTCATACTCAGCAGCACGTGTCACACCCAGCAACACGTGTCACACCCAGCAGCATGTGTCACACCCAGCAGCACGTGTCACACCCAGCAGCATGTGTCACACCCAGCAACACGTGTCACACCCAGCAGCATGTGTCACACCCAGCAGCACGTGTCACACCCAGCAGCATGTGTCACACCCAGCAACACGTGTCACACCCAGCAGCATGTGTCACACCCAGCAGCACGTGTCACACCCAGCAGCATGTGTCACACCCAGCAACACGTGTCACACCCAGCAGCATGTGTCACACCCAGCAGCACGTGTCACACCCAGCAGCATGTGTCACACCCAGCAGCATGTATCACACCCAGCAGCATGTGTCACACCCAGCAGCATGTGTCACACCCAGCAGCATGTATCACACCAAGCAGCATGTGTCACACCCAGCAGCATGTGTCACACCCAGCAGCACGTGTCACACCCAGCAGCATGTGTCACACCCAGCAGCATGTATCACACCCAGCAGCATGTGTCACACCCAGCAGCATGTGTCACACCCAGCAGCATGTGTCACACCCAGCAGCATGTGTCACACCCAGCAGCATGTGTCATACCCAGCAGCATGTGTCACACCCAGCAGCATGTGTCACACCCAGCAGCATGTGTCACACCCAGCAGCATGTGTCACACCCAGCAGCACGTGTCACACCCAGCAGCATGTGTCACACCCAGCAGCACGTGTCACACCCAGCAGCATGTGTCACACCCAGCAGCATGTGTCACACCCAGCAGCACGTGTCACACCCAGCAGCATGTGTCACACCCAGCAGCACGTGTCACACCCAGCATGCATGTGTGTGACACATGTGTCACACCCAGCAGCATGTGTCACACCCAGGAGCCACCAGCAGGAGGTGGCTTCCCTTCTGCAGCATCAACTAATTTATTGCATCAGCATTTTAGGTCAAATGCCGTACAAGACCTGACTCGATTCCTCGGACCTAATTCTATCTTTGGCTTCCCGAAAATGTATAAACAATCCCATCGTTTTCACTCCCTCGCTTCCCATTATTATTATAACCCCCTCCTACAGTGGCATGAAAAAATTGGTTAATTTCCAGTGCCTGTGAAGATGCCTAACCTTCAGAGAACAGCACTTAGGCGCTCTCAGGGGCCGCACCAGCACCCTCCTCCCCCGCCTCTTGTCTTACAGAGTGCCCCGACCTCTTTACTCGAGTCTCAGGGTCAAATTTTTTTTAATAATCTTTCCCTTTATTTTCACCTTTTCTCGCAATACTTTTGTTATTAGCCTTGCCTTAGTATTCGAAGACTTCATCCTTGATGTACTTGCCCTCGAAGTACTCGTCCTCGAAGTGCTCGTCCTCGAAGTACTCGTCCTCGAAGTACTCGTCCTCGAAGTGCTCGTCCTCGAAGTGCTCGTCCTCGAAGTACTCGTCTTCGAAGTACTCGTCCTCGAAGTACTCGTCCTCGAAGTGCTCGTCCTCGAAGTACTCGTCCTCGAAGTACTCGTCCTCGAAGTACTCGTCCTCGAAGTGCTCGTCCTCGAAGTACTCGTCTTCGAAGTACTCGTCCTCGAAGTACTCGTCCTCGAAGTGCTCGTCCTCGAAGTACTCGTCCTCGAAGTACTCGTCCTCGAAGTGCTCGTCCTCGAAGTGCTCGTCCTCGAAGTACTCGTCTTCGAAGTACTCGTCCTCGAAGTACTCGTCCTCGAAGTGCTCGTCCTCGAAGTACTCGTCCTCGAAGTACTCGTCCTCGAAGTGCTCGTCCTCGAAGTGCTCGTCCTCGAAGTACTCGTCTTCGAAGTACTCGTCCTCGAAGTACTCGTCCTCGAAGTACTCGTACTCGAGGTCAGTGTGGGGTTTATCCCCTTCTCGCTTCTTTCCCTCTCTAAGAATGTTGGAGCTTGAATATTACCCTGAGAAGCTGCTCTTGTTTCTTCCCTGACTTACTGCTCGAGACGTTGGTGGCCAGTAAGACTATATGGAGACGGGGCCCCAGGTGAAGGACCAGCAGGGGTTGTGGGGTTGCCAGCAGGGGTTGTGGGTGGCCAGCAGGGGTTGTGGGGTGGCCAGCAGGGGTTGTGGGTGGCCAGCAGGGGTGTGGTGGGTGGCCAGCAGGGGGTGGGGGTGGCCAGCAGGGGTTGTGGGGTGGCCTGCAGGGGTTGTGGGTGGCCAGCAGGGGTTGTGGGGTGGCCAGCAGGGGTTGTGGGGTGGCCAGCAGGGGTTCTGGGTGACCAGCAGGGGTTGTGGGGTGGCCAGCAGGGGTTGTGGGGTGGCCAGCAGGGGTTGTGGGTGGCCAGCAGGGGTTGTGGGGTGGCCAGCAGGGGTTGTGGGGTGGCCAGCAGGGGTTGTGGGTGACCAGCAGGGGTTGTGGGGTGGCCAGCAGGGGTTGTGGGTGACCAGCAGGGGTTGTGGGGTGGCCAGCAGGGGTTGTGGGTTGGCCAGCAGGGCTTGTGGGGTGGCCAGCAGGGGTTGTGGGTGGCCAGCAGGGCTTGTGGGGTGGCCAGCAGGGGTTGTGGGTGGCCAGCTGGGGTTGTGGGTGGCCAGCAGGGGTTGTGGGGTGGCCAGCAGGGGTTGTGGGGTGGCCCGCCGGGGTTGTGGGGTGGCCAGGAGGGGTTGTGGGGTGGCCAGCAGGGGTTGTGGGGTGGCCAGCAGGGGTTGTGGGGTGGCCAGCAGGGGTTGTGGGGTGGCCAGCAGGGGTTGTGGGTGGCCAGCAGGGGTTGTGGGGTGGCCAGCAGGGGTTGTGGGGTGGTCAGCAGGGGTTGTGGGGTGGCCAGCAGGGGTTGTGGGGTGGCCAGCAGGGGTTGTGGGTGGCCAGGAGGGGTTGTGGGGTGGCCAGCAGGGGTTGTGGGGTGGCCAGCAGGGATTGTGGGGTGGCCAGCAGGGGTTGTAAGGTGGCCAGCAGGGGTTGTGGGGTGGCCAGCAGGGGTTGTGGGGTGGCCAGAAGGGGTTGTGGGTGGCCAGCAGGGGTTGTGGGGTGGCCAGCAGGGGTTGTGGGTGGCCAGCAGGGGTTGTGGGTGGCCAGCAGGGGTTGTGGGGTGGCCAGCAGGGGTTGTGGGGTGGCCAGCAGGGGTTGTGGGGTGGCCAGCAGGGGTTGTGGGGTGGCCAGCTGGGGTTGTGGGGTGGCCAGCAGGGGTTGTGGGGTGGCCAGCAGGGGTTGTGGGTGGCCAGCAGGGGTTGTGGGGTGGCCAGCAGGGGTTGTGGGTGGCCAGCAGGGGTTGTGGGTGGCCAGCAGGGGTTGTGGAGTGGCCAGCAGGGCTTGTGGGGTGGCCAGCAGGGCTTGTGGGGTGGCCAGCAGGGGTTGTGGGGTGGCCAGCAAGGGTTGTGGGGTGGCCAGCAGGGGTTGTGGGGTGGCCAGAAGGGGTTGTGGGTGGCCAGCAGGGGTTGTGGGGTGGCCAGCAGGGGTTGTGGGTGGCCAGCAGGGGTTGTGGGTGGCCAGCAGGGGTTGTGGGGTGGCCAGCAGGGGTTGTGGGTGGCCAGCAGGGGTTGTGGGGTGGCTAGCAGGGCTTGTGGGGTGGCCAGCAGGGGTTGTGGGGTGGCCAGCAGGGGGTTGTGGGGTGGCCAGAATGGGTTGTGGGGTGACCAGCAGGGGATGTGGGGTGGCCAGCAGGGGTTGTGGGTGGCCAGCAGGGGTTGTGGGGTGGCCAGCAGGGGTTGTGGGGTGGCAAGAAGGGGTTGTGGGTGACCAGCAGGGGTTGTGGGGTGGCCAGCAGGGGTTGTGGGTTGGCCAGCAGGGCTTGTGGGGTGGCCAGCAGGGGTGGTGGGTGGCCAGCAGGGCTTGTGGGGTGGCCAGCTGGGGTTGTGGGTGGCCAGCTGGGGTTGTGGGTGGCCAGCAGGGGTTGTGGGGTGGCCAGCAGGGGTTGTGGGGTGGCCAGCAGGGGTTGTGGGGTGGCCAGTAGGGGTTGTGGGGTGGCCAGCAGGGGTTGTGGGGTGGCCAGCAGGGGTTGTGGGGTGGCCAGCAGGGGTTGTGGGGTGGCCAGCAGGGGTTGTGGGTGGCCAGCAGGGGTTGTGGGGTGGCCAGCAGGGGTTGTGGGGTGGTCAGCAGGGGTTGTGGGGTGGCCAGCAGGGGTTGTGGGGTGGCCAGCAGGGGTTGTGGGTGGCCAGGAGGGGTTGTGGGGTGGCCAGCAGGGGTTGTGGGGTGGCCAGCAGGGATTGTGGGGTGGCCAGCAGGGGTTGTAAGGTGGCCAGCAGGGGTTGTGGGGTGGCCAGCAGGGGTTGTGGGGTGGCCAGAAGGGGTTGTGGGTGGCCAGCAGGGGTTGTGGGGTGGCCAGCAGGGGTTGTGGGTGGCCAGCAGGGGTTGTGGGTGGGCAGCAGGGGTTGTGGGGTGGCCAGCAGGGGTTGTGGGGTGGCCAGCAGGGGTTGTGGGGTGGACAGCAGGGGTTGTGGGGTGCCCACAAGGGGTTGTGGGGTGGCCAGCAGGGGTTGTGGGGTGGCCAGCAGGGGTTGTGGGTGGCCAGCAGGGGTTGTGGGGTGGCCAGCAGGGGTTGTGGGTGGCCAGCTGGGGTTGTGGGTGGCCAGCAGGGGTTGTGGAGTGGCCAGCAGGGCTTGTGGGGTGGCCAGCAGGGCTTGTGGGGTGGCCAGCAGGGGTTGTGGGGTGGCCAGCAAGGGTTGTGGGGTGGCCAGCAGGGGTTGTGGGGTGGCCAGAAGGGGTTGTGGGTGGCCAGCAGGGGTTGTGGGGTGGCCAGCAGGGGTTGTGGGTGGCCAGCAGGGGTTGTGGGTGGCCAGCAGGGGTTGTGGGGTGGCCAGCAGGGGTTGTGGGTGGCCAGCAGGGGTTGTGGGGTGGCTAGCAGGGCTTGTGGGGTGGCCAGCAGGGGTTGTGGGGTGGCCAGCAGGGGGTTGTGGGGTGGCCAGAATGGGTTGTGGGGTGACCAGCAGGGGTTGTGGGGTGGCCAGCAGGGGTTGTGGGTGGCCAGCAGGGGTTGTGGGGTGGCCAGCAGGGGTTGTGGGGTGGCCAGCAGAGGTTGTGGGTGGCTAGCAGGGGTTGTGGGGTGGCCAGCAGGGGTTGTGGGGTGGTCAGCAGGGCTTGTGGGGTGGCCAGCAGGGGTTGTGGGGTGGCCAACAAGGGTTGTGGGGTGGCCAGCAGGGGTTGTGGGGTGGCCAGAAGGGGTTGTGGGTGACCAGCAGGGGTTGTGCGTGGCCAACAGGGGTTGTGGGGTGGCCAGCAGGGGTTGTAGGTGGCCAGCAGGGGTTGTGGGTGGCCAGCAGGGGTTGTGGGTGGCCAGCAGGGGTTGTGGGTGGCCAGCAGGGGTTGTGGGGTGGCCAGCAGGGGTTGTGGGGTGGCCAGCAGGGGTTGTGGGTGGCCAGCAGGGGTTGTGGGGTGGCCAGCAGGGGTTGTGGGGTGGCCAGCAGGGGTTGTGGGGTGGCCAGCAGGGGTTGTGGGGTGGCCAGCAGGGGTTGTGGGGTGGCCAGAAGGTGTTGTGGGGTGGCCAGCAGGGGTTGTGGGGTGGCCAGAAGGGGTTGTGGGTGGCCAGCAGGGGTTGTGGGGTGGCCAGCAGGGCTTGTGGGGTGGCCAGCAGGGCTTGTGGGGTGGCCAGCAGGGGTTGTGGGGTGGCCAGCAGGGGTTGTGGGGTGGCCACCAGGGGTTGTGGGGTGGCCAGCAGGGGTTGTGTGTGGCCAGCAGGGGTTGTGGGGTGGCCAGCAGGGGTTGTGGGTGGCCAGCAGGGGTTGTGGGGTGGCCAGAAGGGGTTGTGGGGTGGCCAGCAGGGGTTGTGGGGGTGGCCAGAAGGGGTTGTGGGTGGCCAGCAGGGGTTGTGGGGTGGCCAGCAGGGCTTGTGGGGTGGCCAGCAGGGGTTGTGGGGTGGCCAGCAGGGGTTGTGGACTGGCCAGCAGGGGTTGTGGGTGGCCAGCAGGGGTTGTGGGTGGCCAGCAGGGGTTGTGGGGTGGCCAGCAGGGGTTGTGGGTGGCCAGCAGGGGTTGTGGGGTGGCCAGTAGGGGTTGTGGGGTGGCCAGCAGGGGTTGTGGGGTGGCCAGCAGGGGTTGTAGGGTGGCCAGCAGGGGTTGTGGGGTGGCCAGCAGGGGTTTTGGAGTGGCCAGCAGGGGTTGTAGTGGTGGCCCGGTGCGTCTCAGCGATAAACACACCATGAAACGACAACAAAAATATTGCCAACTTTCCTATCATGTTTCCAACCAGGTGGTGCGTGGAGGCGAGTGTGTTGACACACTCAGGTGGTGCGTGGAGGCGAGTGTGTTGACACACTCGGGTGGTGCGGGGGGGGCGAGTGTGTTGACACACTCAGGTGGTGCGTGGAGGCGAGTGTGTTGACACACTCAGGTGGTGCGTGGAGGCGAGTGTGTTGACACACTCGGGTGGTGCGTGGAGGCGAGTGTGTTGACACACTCAGGTGGTGCGTGGAGGCGAGTGTGTTGACACACTCGGGTGGTGCGTGGAGGCGAGTGTGTTGACACACTCAGGTGGTGCGTGGAGGCGAGTGTGTTGACACACTCGGGTGGTGCGTGGAGGCGAGTGTGTTGACACACTCGGGTGGTGCGTGGAGGCGAGTGTGTTGACACACTCGGGTGGTGCGTGGAGGCGAGTGTGTTGACACACTCGGGTGGTGCGGGGGGGGGGGCGAGTGTGTTGACACACTCGGGTGGGGCTGGGGAGTACCTCCTCAGCCACAACTTTTAATTGGAAAAATGCCTCGTGTATATTTAGCGTGTCTAAAGCTTTTGGGCTCAGTGTTCTACTTAAGAGTAACTTCCTCGCGTCCTGGTAACCTAAGTTCAGGTGAGTGCGGTGAAAATTTTATCACACGAGATGATAGAACCAACATTGTGGGGCTTGAGACAGGTGTGGCTCAGGTGTACAGGTGTGGCTCAGGTGTACAGGTGTGGCTCAGGTGTACAGGTGTGGCTCAGGTCTACAGGTGTGGCAAGGGTGGGTCAGGT